ATCACGTCGAATTTAGGCAATTTAATAGGTCTCTCGTCTTCACTGATGAACAGTCTGATAAATCGCCAAAGAAGTATCTTCCTAAGAACCTATATCTGCTGTACGCCAAAGGTGGGCATTCAACGAGAAAATGTATTATGGTTACTTTCTCTGCGGATTTCCACAACTTTTGCAGTGAGGATTATGGCGAAGGCGCAGTTTCTCTACGTGGGTTCCTACACACCAATGACCAGAAAGAACTGTAGTAAACCTTGCAGTGTTCACGTGGTCTCTTTTGATGAATTCCGAGGATCTGTTTTTATTATAGGTGAGAGATATTAGTATTAGTATAGTATTAGTATTGAGATATTATGTTAGTACATAAAAAAAAATTTACACAAAAGAGACATATCAGAGAAAATGCAGTGAAAATAGATATATGAAAAAAAACTGATAATGTGATAAACAATGAAATTAATGCTAAGAAACTGAGTGAATTTCGTTAACAACAAATGGTGAAAATGAAACACCAGAATAAAGTCATTTGCTAAATAAGACATAAATTCTTGAGAAGTAAATATTGTTGCGATGAACAGAACAAATTTTCATTTGAATTTGACAAAAAATTTGTTTAACAAATCTCGTATAGAACGTACTTAAAAGCAACTTTGTTAAAATTTCTTTTTAATTTAAAATATAAAACAAAATACTCAGATAATCTGAAAATTTATCAATTTGGAATTATCAAATTCTTTCCACAATTGGAGTTGATTAAATGGATATGAATTTTAGACTCCAAATGCAATATTATTCAAATCACCTACTAATAGACGTATCACACAGTAGAGAGATGGATAATGACGATAATTTTTGATTTTCTCTGAGTAATGAATATACCTAAATACTCAGTTTTTAATTGGATAATAGTTGAATAAAAGTGATCTATTGTATGAAATATGAATTCTTTTCAACAGAACTTATATTTTTTAACAAAACTTTTTTTTCAAAGAAAAAAGTATATAATTGTGAAAGATTATTTACTTTACATCGTATAGATAATTTGAGTTTTAAGTTCATTAACGCTTACAGTTGATTCCTCAATCTGACAAAAAAAAAAGAATTCTATTGGACGAAATATTTAAGAAAATTTCCCTTGCAAACTTCGTTCAAAAAACACAATAACTCAAAAAAACTTTCTTTAAATAGCTTAGGTTATATAGAAATTTATTGTTCATTAAGCATCAATGTACAAGAACATCACATTAATCTCATAAATAAAACGAGTACCAAATGAAATGGAACGAGAGGCTGTATAAGCTATACTTAAACATAACTTTAACTTTAATATAGTTAAGCGCGTCTTCGATGTCATAGTTGTATCGTGCGAATGGAAAAACGCTGTAACTAGAAAGGTTTTTAATTCGGTATCCGCTTATAAAAACCGCAATAGAGGATCGTGGATGGACCAAGTATCCAACGATATGATGGCATTCGGTACTACAAACTTGCAATAGCAAACACTGATCCAGATAGCTGGAGGAGAGTACTGAACGCGTCCAAGGACGACTCTCGTCTGTAACAGCCAACTAAGTAGGCAAGTGAGACCTTGCCTTTATACATTGTATCTTCGTAAGTATGGAGAAAAAACACACCTCCCACACAATTTCCCATTTCTTGAACCAAGGAAACACCTGTCGAAGTTAAAGCTTTTAACTTCTTTTAAAATGATCCAGCCTGTATACGATTTAAATAGTATTACATTAATAATAAGATTTATTGTTTGACTTTAGTTAGATGAATAATATTGATTATTACATAAAAGAAGTTAATATTTTTTATTGGAAAAAGCCTATTTATGTAAGCCATTATTATAAATTTTTTAAAATAATAAATCATTTCCTTAAAATGTTATTTGAAGGTGCCATTAGTATAATTAAATTTTTTCTTTTCTTTGAGAATAATTTTCTCTTGTGTAACATTTTTAGTAATCAATCAATTTTTTATCTCAACGATAGATAACCGAAGTTGCAATTGCGGTAAAAGTAGAAAAGCCTGTGACTGCACTTTTCTGTTGCATTAACTTTGCAATTATGCAAAAACAAGTTTCCATGTTCTCGGCCATTGCATTTCACACAAGTGCAACAAATGCAAAGAAACAAAATGGCAACAACCACAAAACTTGGCTAAATATTTGCATATTGAAAATAATATCTTGTTCATATGTGAACGTGGTCGATGGAGGCCATGTTTTGCAATGAAAAGACTACTTAAGTAATTACGTTGACCAGTGGACATGCGACTGGTAGAATCTGTGGAGAACAGTGGAATAAACTTTTTTTTTTTTAAACACACGCAACACTAAATTATAATATTTTTTCTCAAAATAATTACGAATTAAAAAGATGTAAATTAAAGTTGCTTCGAAAAAAGTTCTGTACTTACCAAAGGTGAATAGAATGCCGAACTATCCACACCAATACTTTGATAGGGATTTTGATCTGTTGATGGGTAAGGTGCACCATAAACACCTACACTAGCTGCCGGTAGGCGTGAGTAACTGGATAATGCCAAACGTGCTGAATCATATTGACATGAACAAACTGTTTGTCCCGAAACGGGATCAGTCATAATTGGACGCCCATTCTCACAACAATTACCACCGGTGGCTGTGACATGATGTCCCAAGGCAGCACTTTCCAATGCCGCAATACTTCCACCTGCAACATTTACTGCACTATTTAAACCTGCAGATGCAACAGCACTACTCGTAGGTGACACAACATCCGGACTAAGTGCATCCGAAGAAAGTTCACCACTGCCAGGCACATTTGTACGACAATCTGTTGTGGGACTGTGTGCAGGTGCTGTATTGTTGCTAGCACTCTCCACACCACCAGTTGTCAGTGATGCCTGTGCTGCATTTGTCGATAAGAGCTGCAAGTATAAAAATAAAATAGAAATTTCATTAAAAATATTTTTTAATGCCCGTTTTGAATTTTATTTTAATTTGTTGAAATATTTCTTTTATCTGCGCATTGCCAACATACAATATTAATCAATTTTCAAAACATAAAATAAAATATCTTTTTAACTTTTTAATGTGATAAATTTGTCACCATTATCAAAGCTTCCATTCTTCCTCTTAGCTAGTCTTTGCCTTTGTCTTTGGCTTTTTATTTCATTTATGTTTTTATTGTGTTTTTTATCGTCCATGCTGCCGTGTTTCCGATAAACATCGCACTTTTTTAGCTTTTTTCTTCAATTTGGAAATTAAAAACATAAAAATTCACATTAAACTTGCTACTTTCGGGCTTTTATCTCAGAAATTAAATGGTCTCACTGATAGGCCTAAATTATTATTATCGCCCTTCCAGTTTACATAATTAATGCGTGTTAATTAAAGCGACGTTATAATTTTTATTTTAGACACCAAATATTCACCCGAAATCTCCCATTACAAATTCAAATGTGTTCGAGATCAGTGATAAAGTTTTAGATAAATTGTACCTGTGCGGGTCTGGAATTAAGCGAAATTAATTTTGCGCAAGTCAAATAAAAGTCAAAGATGTTTCTAATACAATGATTTCAAGATTTTAGATAAAAGCATTTCAGAGAGAAATAAAAATATTTATTATGCTTATTAAGAGGTATGAATCTGAAATTTACTTCACCATACTAAACATATTAATTTTCTGATGATACATGTTTAATCACTGAATAATATGTACTACATATCTACATATGTATATACATTACTTAAGATTTATTATTTCCGTAGTAGTATAATAAACCATATATATATTACATATTTACTTATTTATTTATTTAACAATCATAATTATATTTACTTAGTCAATTTAAGATACTTGTGCAACCTTAGCTATTTGTGGGAAAACAAGAACAGTCATCCTTTCGAATTTGACAGGCATAAGTTTTAAGCCTATCACTTGCAGTCCAAAAAATTAAGTACGGACTATAAACGATTAAAATAAAAATTCGAATATTTTCGAGGACCACTGATGATGAGTACTTGGCAATACTCGAAACAGCGTTGTATGGTCAGCCAAATTTTAATAAATTAACTAAAATAATTGTTGTTATTTCTTCATTATGATTCGAACCCTATTAGTTTATTTTCGTTATAACACGCGTCACATTTGCCAAAAAAAAATCAACATTAAGATATTTTCATTTTTATATGGTTTTATAGAAGTTAAACTGGTCCTTCATAGAAATGTTGTTAAGAACTACCGTTTTAAAATTAAAAAATCTTAAATTAATTTATAAATTAATTAAATTAAAATTGATTAATTAATCTGACTTAATTTGTAATAATAAATTGAGTATACCCCATTTTTCGAAACAAAGGCTGAAGTTAATCTCTACAATTTATTATAACAAACAGATTGTGTAGTATTGACTTGTGCTAATTAGACTCTTTCTAGATAAAAAATTAGGTCTTATTCGTTTTAGTATGTATATAAAATAAGGTTAAGAAAAATAAAGTACTAAGTATCGTTTATTAGGTGTGTTTAGTTAGGCAGTCCTAAAGAGCCACTTCGGCCTATTGTGTTATCGTTTAAGAACTCAGAGGCTTAAAAGCCACCTCGTGTTATTATAATAAATCGAAATAAGCATCTTAAGTATATATTTGGAAAAAAAACAATGAGAAAGTATATCCATTTTTATGGGCTATATCCATATCCATTATAATAAATCGAAATAAGCATCTTAAGTATATATTTGGAAAAAAAACAATGAGAAAGTATACCCATTCGTTCTTACTCATATGTGATTACGAGTTTAGTTTTTTGTTTGTCGTTTTCAAATAATCAATAGTTAATATAATGTATAATTAATTATTATAATTATTAGTACAATGTATTATTATATTATAATTAAATTTAAATCTTCAAGATCTTTTAGTTTTGTAATTAAATAACTATATATAATAGATCTTTGTCCTATATTAAAACGGAATTAATTGTGTTTCTTCAATATAATCGTAATTACCTGCTGTCATCAAACATTTTACGTTAATTATTTAAACACAAAATAAAAACTTGAATGGTTTATAACTTATTATATATAATTTATTATAAAAAATATTAAAAAAATAATACTTAAACACTCTCTTCCCTTATAAAATTATAAATTTATTTTTTTATTTATCAAATTACCCTTTCAACAATTTCAAGTAGTGATCGTGCCAAGCTTTTTATGGGCTATAATCACATTTCTTGCTGTGCAAATCATAAATTAAATGGTTTTGTATTTTAACTTAATTAATTTTAAATAAAAACAGTTTTAATTATGGCATTTAAAATGTAAGCTAGTCAATATAAAATTTATCAAATATTTTTATGGGTTATCAATAAAAACTATTAGTTCATATAACATATAATTACAAGTAGTAACAACCAGTAACTTGTGTGGCCAATTCGAAGTGTCAATAAAATTAAGCAATTAAATTTTTTATTATTTTATAAATTTATTAAAAATACATAATTGACTTAGTGATACAAATTTCAGACAGTTTTATTAATTTTTAATTAAATTCAATTAACTTAATGTAATAAGTATTGACCAACTTAAGGATGTTGATGATTTTTTATGTACTCTGTTTGCAACGGATATCAAAAAAAATTACAACAAAATTATTGCATTTAAAAAACTACTTATGAGGTTTAACATTAATCAATAGGTTAAAAAAATTGTAATTAACTATAATTATATTCTTGAGCAGTGGTGCAACTTATCAAGGTTTGGACTGGGGTCAGTCTCTTTAAAGGGTTAAATGATATTTTCAACCACATCTACAGGCACAAAGATAAACATGCAGCAATTAAAATATGTACTTGTTTAAATTAAAAATTTGAGAAAGTTGGAGTTGGAAATTTTTTTTGAGACTTTTATAGAACTGTAATGACAAGCTATAAGTAATAGTAAACGAAAACAGGATAGTGCTATAGTGGCTGTTAGATCATACTGGCAACAACTTTACGGATAATCTCATAACAACCAATTCTGGCTCAAAATTCTATACACCGGAGCCTTATTGTGAAGTAAATAAGTTCACAAAATATTTTTTTATTAAATAATTTACAAAAACAACTTTGTTGTTGTCACGATACTTTAAGTAACTATCAAGTATAATAACTAGTTAATTCTGCTGATTCATTGAGGTTGTTGGTAAAATATTTTTATAAAACTTTTACTTGTGCTACCATCTTAACAACAATGATTCTTCAGAAATGACAAAATATCGTCTCTGTGACTTCTAATTAAATTTTTGTATATACTTTCATCTGAAGAATGATACATCAATACATATTCTCTTTGACTTTTAGTTACATTCTTTGTATCTGTGCTTTGATCTGAGCCAGGGTACTACGTCGTCAAAATATCGACTCACATTCTTTGTGATTATGCTTTCATTTGAGCCAGACACATTAACATTGCACGATTAAGGGTGATATTGATGTGTGATAGATCCATTTCTCAAAGATTTGACTGTTGTCCAACAAACCAATTTCAATATGTCTATTGCTATATATTAACATAGTAAATTTTGTATTCTGTAAATTCTAATTTACTGTCGCACTGTACAATACAAATTCCGGAAAATAAGTCTTTCCGAATAATTTTCGGAAAATGCTATTCGAGGTAATAACAGTTCTCACAGATTACCAGATATTAGATTATGTCAGATATTACATATTTTACATATTACGTTGTCAATATTGAGTTATTTTTCTATTGATTGTTACAATAAAACGTGGCAAGAATCATTCGGTCTAAAAGTTTCGTTATAATTGATTTGAATAACCCATGTTATTCCGCTCTTTCACACAACTTCTGTTTTATTTTTGTATTTTCCAACTGTGCAAAACTAAGCAAGCCATAGAGCTCAATGGTAATACATTACGATTACACTTTTTTTCGTTAAGGAAATTTATTTTATAATTTTAATAGAAATTTATTTAAAAGAAAAAACAAAAATCAAGACGACAATGAATGAAAATTATTCAAAATTGCCCGCATCAGCTACAGTAGCTTCTTACATTCTCAGCCTCCAACTTGAAGATAAACTGAAAAGAAAAGCCGAACTCCAGAAGGAATAATACACTTTCAGTAACAAGTACAGAAGCATTTTTGTCAATAATCCCCATAAGCACTTTACTTGTATTTCACCGATACGATCATTTACCACAAATGCGAAAGAATCGTTGTATCCGCACTTTTTACCAAGCACTCAATGCAGTTGAAGTACAAATTTTATTAATGCAAAATGCACCCATTGATGTGTGCGTCTATAATCGCAATAAATTATGGATAAAAAATATATAAAATATAAATAATTACAAAAAAATGTAGTATGTATAAAATTGTAATTTTATAAAATTTTACGCCTTCATCACACAAACAGACATGTTAAGGCTTCTGAAAATGCCCGCGGATCGCAGATATTTTGCAAAACAGTTGCAGCCGAAGAGTGTAAGAGTTTTAAATTTAAGAAAAAAGATTTTAAAAAATTTAAAGAAAATATTAACCAAAATTTTAAGCACCCCATAATTAAATTAATTTCTTTTTGACTTTATAAAGAGATATTCACAGCGTACGTGCCAAAAATTTGAGCTCAAACAAAAATAAAAAATGCTTCTTTTTATAAAAATTTCGAGGAAACCCAAAATGCCAAAAGAAAGCCATGAAGGCTTTGATCGAAAGCTGTCGTCTAAAAATTGCAACAAAAGATAACAAAGGAGCAGGCGTTTCATAAAGACCCAAAGGTCAAATACGCCCCTGAACAAAAACAAAAATATCGACATTTAAATATGTTGGCGATGGTCGAGGCTGCTGAGGTTGCTAAAAATGCTTTTGTTTTGTTATAATTATGACGCAACTGCTGATGCATGGAATTCATAATTAGTGCC